TAATGCCGTCTTATTGCTCTTCTTCCTAGTAGGTGCATTTAAAAATGTTTTCCTGATGATTCCTGGACTCCTGCTCAAAATTATAAATGAATATAAAGGACAGCTACAAAAAAAAAAGCTGTTGTCGTTCCATCCTGACGGATGACAGCCGTGACAGCTAAGTGGAATCCTGGAAAATAAACCGTGGAACTTTGACCAATGAGAGAACAGTTTACTCGCGCGTGACTTGCATGAACAAATTTGGTCCGTTTATAAACTTTGCCGTGTGAAAGCGAACCGCACCAAGAATAAAAAGCAACATTGTAATAATTTTAATCCCTGTTTCGGAACAAAGCAATCGATCTACAGGTGTGAAAGCACCCTTAGTGAGCATGTGGACTATATCAGCTCTGCAGGAAATTATCAACAGGTCCAACGATTCAGTAACACTACCTGAAGCGTATATAAAGCATTAAAAAAAGTATTTAAACAAATATAAAATATCTGAAAACATGCATCATCTACTAAGATTTTAGCGCTGGACCTATCCTTTTACAATGTCTTATAAAACACACTATAATACATTTTAAGCTTTCATTAAAAACTGTGAACAGAGTTATAACATATGATAACTTTACAATAAGGTTAAATTTGCTAACATTAGTTATTACATTAGCATGAACTAACAATGAAAAATACTTCTGAATTTATGAATTGCAGTTCAAGTTAAATCCAACATTTAGTAATAAATTATTAAAATCAAGTGTTGTGTCTGTTAATATAGTGTAATTAATAAACACTAAAACAAAAGCATTGCTCATCTGTAATGGTAGTTAATGCATTAACGTTAAGTACCTTACTGTAAAGTCTTACAGAGAATACTTAGTTTCTTCAAACAATACAACATTAAAAGGCTATATTATGAATTATCCAGTACAATTTCCATCTAATCAAGAAATGGTGTCTGAAGTTGACAATGGAACTATTTAATTGTATTTTTTATTATTGTGTGTGTAATTATTATTTGTGAGTGTTATTATTAGTGTAATAAAGAATCCGACATGATGTCCTTTATACACAAACAGATGAATCTGAGATGTGCAGAAATCAGAAAATGCAGAGACTGCAATCTGTCTGAACTGAATACAAGTGTTTCAAATTAACAGCATACATGTTGTGTCTTACAGAAGCTTAACAAAATCTCCTCAGAAGAGAAGAGAAGAGAAGAGAAGAGAAGAAACCGGTAATTTCACACAGATAATGCACAGGTGCGTGCTTCCACCTGGCTGCCACTGATAAGTGACTGAGAGCGAGACAGACACAGACAGACAGAAGGAAAGAGAGGTGTGGAGGGGCTAATGGCCTGAGAATCATCATCCTGCTAAAGACAGCACAGAACCAAAGATGCTGGAGTGGGAGCAGGAGGACAGCCTGTAATCACTGAACTGTCAAGATGAAGTTAACAGACTAAACAAAGACACCATCATCCAGTACAATGTGATCAGATACAGACAGACAGAGAGACAGAAAAAAACACAAAGAAATAAAAGAACTAGGGCTGGTCCTAATACCATTTTTTGAGCTTCGAAGCTTTGGTAGTAATCAACACCGAATATTCAAAGCTTCGGAGGGAGGGGGCTGAACATATTCTTCTCTCTAACCCCGTGTCTACAACTGACGCGAATGGTGCGGCGCGACAAAATACTATAGAACTCATTATAATCAGTGATGCTGTCAATACACGACAAATTCCCGACAGAAAACTGCTGCTGCGTTCTATTTATGACGTATTGATACACATTTCAAATGATTTTCAACGGTCGCTTTTTCACGTCCAGTGTAGACAGACTTTAGCTGTTGCGGCACGGCGCGGCAACTGTCACGTCCGGTGTAGACACGGTGTAATAAAGGCAGGAATCTCTGTGTGTCTGTCTGTTTACATTTTTATTATGTCGAGAACCGTTCATCCAATCGACTTCACGCGTGGTGGGTGTGTTGCTGCGGACCCAAGGGAGTGCAGTGTCGCATTTTGGTGCAATATGGACACGCAACAATCACGCGGGCAGTGCTTTTATATGCTCCGAGAACTGACACTGCACTAGTGATACAAAACACACAGGTCTGTTAAGAGCAATACTTTTAATATAGACAAATTATTATTAGGCTGGGCTACTGTACGTTTTTTATGACTGCCGTATTCGCAAGTATTTTCCAAGCAAATTAAGTGCACGTTTTTATCATGTGTAAAAATACTGATTAACATGGCGGATAAAAGCAGCTCGTTTTTTGTTTTACACCAACAATATACTATAGGCGTACTACCTACAGAATTTTACAGATTTTTCAAACTTGATGTGCTGTTGTGGCCAGTTTCAAATCGCATATTTGGCACACTGCCTTTGTCTTGTCCTCACTCAATGTAAAGTGCTCCCACACAGCTAAGGTCTTCGGCACTTTTGTCTTCTCTTTCAGATGAACTAAATCATGACGTTCATGACGTTCACTCATGGGCGATTCATATTCAAGCGCGAATGAGAACCGTTTTGCGAAAAAAAAAAAGAAGAAGAAGAATATTCGAATATCAAAAGTCAACCCACTGAACGAATATTCGAATAATCGAATTTTCTGGTCCAGCCCTAAAAAGAACAAACCAGTCACAACAAATGAACAAAACAATAGAAAAAGAGAATGAAAAAATGACCAAAGAAAAAAAATAAGACTAACACAGAATGAAAGATACAAAGAACAAAGAGAAGAGCACAAGCTGAAAAGTAAACAATAGAAACAAACAAACAAAAGACAGAGAAAGAAGCAAAGAACAAAGGGAAAGAAAAACAACCTAAACACCGAGCAGCAGCAACAAACAAAAGAAACAAAAAAGAATGGAAAGAATTTAAGAACAAATAAACAAACGAAGGAACGATTCAAAGAACAAAAAGGCAGATAATGTTTAATAAACCCATGTGGACAAACCACTGATCTGAGAACAAACTATACGAGCAGGTAAATATCGTCAATATGCCATTTTTCCTTTCGTCAATGATGCTGAATTAACACAAGCAACACACTTCCTCCGGGAAACAACTGCTACCAAAATTGATTGAGCTTCCTTCTTAATAGCACACATAATGAGAAAATTCAAGCTTATATATATAAAAAAAAAAAAATGCATTTCATGGCTCTTTCTTACCTGGCCACGGAGTACATGAAAAGGAAGTCATTGTCAGGTGACCCTGGGTTCTTCCCATAATCCATGTATTTTTTCTGCGTGGTGTTTTTAATGTCCTTTATAACAGATTCCATCTCTTTACTCAGATTTGACTCCACCTGGGAGAAAAAAAAAAAAGTCACTTTGTGAAGGCTTCTCTGATTTTCAGAGCAGAGTTTAATGGCCTGACATGCAAGTCTACGATACTAGCTTGAGCTTTTGTGTTATGAGATGTTAAACCACAGCAACGTTCGGCGGGGCATGAAGGATCACATGGAGGTGAGTGGCACACCAGTTCTTACTCTGAATCAGGATGGAGCGATGAGATGCACAGAACAGAAAAGAGGGGAGGGGAGAGCGCTCTAATAAATACCAGTATGGGATCTCTCTGCTTTAGGCTGGCGCTTACTGGGAAAATGCCCAGCTGCTCCTGAAGGTCCTCCACTTCGTTCACCATTGTGGACATGCTCTTGTTACTGGGTGTGTGCCAGGCACCCGTCTCCATCCCACGGCCAGGACGACAGGGCAAAACACTGTTGGCGAACTGACGACACAGTGGACAGGTGAACTCGCCTTTATCCACAGAAAACCCCTGAAGGACCTGATCGTTCTGAAAACAAACAAATACGACACTGTTCATTTAATGAGGTTTAGCAGATGACTCATTCTCAAAAATAGACGTAATGGTATCCGTTTGATATGATCTGATATATAAGCTCACAAAGTCTTTTGACTATTAGTATAAAGTCTGGTCCACATTGTAGCTTATTCTGTAATCATTGTAAGCATGTTCCAATTTGGTTGTGTTTTTGTGCCAACATTTCTTTTTAAACTTAAGCACTTGTGTCGATACTGCACATCATGAAAGAAAAAAAAAGAAAAAATTCCAAAACCTTTTTTTTTTTTTTTTCAAGAAAAGGGGCAAAAAAATGTGGTAATGACAGAATGAGGGGAGAGCGCTCTAATAAATACCAGTATGGGATCTCTCTGCTTTAGGCTGGCGCTTACTGGGAAAATGCCCAGCTGCTCCTGAAGGTCCTCCACTTCGTTCACCATTGTGGACATGCTCTTGTTACTGGGTGTGTGCCAGGCACCCGTCTCCATCCCACGGCCAGGACGACAGGGCAAAACACTGTTGGCGAACTGACGACACAGTGGACAGGTGAACTCGCCTTTATCCACAGAAAACCCCTGAAGGACCTGATCGTTCTGAAAACAAACAAATACGACACTGTTCATTTAATGAGGTTTAGCAGATGACTCATTCTCAAAAATAGACGTAATGGTATCCGTTTGATATGATCTGATATATAAGCTCACAAAGTCTTTTGACTATTAGTATAAAGTCTGGTCCACATTGTAGCTTATTCTGTAATCATTGTAAGCATGTTCCAATTTGGTTTTTTTTTTGTGCCAACATTTCTTTTTAAACTTAAGCACTTGTGTCGATACTGCACATCATGAAAAAAAAAAAAAAAAAAAATTCCGAAACCTTTTTTTTTTTTTTTTCTCTCAAGAAAAGGGGCAAATAAATGTGGTATCACATGACAGAATCAGCCTAACAGCGAAACAGCCTAACAAAATCTAAATTCTAAAAACAAAATTAAAAACATTTTTCACTGCACGAGTATTTTTATTTTCTCATGAATACTTTTTGCACACAGGACAAGATTAAGTTGTATAGTCAGTTGTATAAAGGCAGATATATGCAGTCTTATCATATGAGCAACTGCTCCATTTCAGTGTCATCTTCTGATACTTCCGTCACAAGCTTTTTTTGTGCATTTTTTACTTTGTTGATAAAACAACAGCACAAATGATATGCGCATGGCTATTTTTATTTCCGTTTTCACTCGGAAGGCAAAAACCGTAAGTCAGACTGCTTAGCAAATTGCATCATTTTAACCAATCAGATTGGAGATTATAACTGTTTAAAAGGAAGCTCTTACCATTTTTGTGTGTAATATGCATCCCAGCCTTGGGTTTGTCACCTGATGCTGAGACTAAAGTGCTGATAACTCTACAGCTAAAAGGACAGCCCTGTTTAACCCCCTTCTCTCGCTCTGAACATCATTGTCTGCTCATGTTAGATTATTCAGCAGATAATGATGTCAGACTGCCCTTATTAGCATAAGCACAACGCTTCCCTGAAAGCTTCAGCTGAGAAGAAACAGTGGTGAATGAACCTCTAACGAGGTTCAGAGCAGAGTCTCAACTAATAGTCACTTGATAAGTTAAAGCTCTTTACAGTATAGTGTTCAGTATAAAGAGTTGATGGATTCTTACCCGTAAGGACTCCATGTAGGACTTGTGACAGTCTATATGCAGAGTGTGGCCACACGTCTGCACATACACACCCCCGTCCCAGCCAATAGACACAGACTGCAGACATGAACTCTGGGAAATTAAGCATAAGAAAATGAAAAAGAAGAACTAACCATCATTCATGAGCTAATAAAAGAGACAACATTACATTTTGATTGTATTAAACTCTTTAAATGAAAATAAAGCTTTAGTTTGCAAGGTGAGGATAATAATGTATGTAATACTATAATAATGTACAATAAGAATGTTTTAAGCTGCTGTAAAATAGCTTATATGCACACATTTTTGATGGCACAGCTGAATTCAACATTAATGCAGCAGCTGTAAACTATCTACAGTTGGGATAATGAGCTCCATTACCTGGCAGAATAATTGTTTATTGTAATTGTTCATTTTATAAAAGCAATAAGACACCCAAGACAGTGATTTTACTACGTGCCTAACAACCCTTAGCCATGGTTATATCACTGTAATGCATTGGCCTCTTGTGGTTTATTGCATTATTAAAGTATGTAACCCTAATGAAACTGTATGCTTAGACAGTCATATTGTATTGATATGCCTCAACAAAAAACAAATGTTTTAGAATGAGTGTTTATATGTGGTACATACATCTTTAAAGTAGCGTTGCATAAGGGAGAGCCTAACATCATGGGCCGCTCCACATGTGTCCTCGGGGTAGATATGTTCCTCATCCGTAGTAGGCAATCGCTTTGGTGTGTCACTACGACAGCGGTGCCCCAACACTGAAATGCACACACATACACACTCTTTAGAAATGGCAATCATATGCCAATTAGCTGCCATCATCATATTTATGACATTCTCCATTTGCATACTATAATTAAGTTCCATGTCAAAGTCAAAACTGTAATGCACGTCACGCTGCCTCCAAATCCCACCATACGGAATACTCAGCAATAAAAATTAAAAATAGACCAAATCAGCAGCCTGTTAATCCATCAAATCTCCAAGAACTGATTTTCCAGCTCTATAGGGTCAGACAAGATAGCTACAAACACAGCAAACCTTGACCTTGAGGCCTTTTAAGAATACTAAAGTCACAAATCGGACAAATCATAGACCAGTGATTATTCATAAAACAGAATGTTAATTTTATCACAGGACTGGGGTGGGAGAAAACTACCTGCGAGTCTACCTGCTAAGAGTTCACAATGCTTGATAAATTAAGCAATTAAACACTGTTGTTAAAACAAGTAGTCGTGCAAAGTGGGTGGATTTAAAGTCATGGGTGGGTTAATGTAGAGTTAAAGAGCTCCAGTGATCTGGATCACTACAATCTGCCACCTGCAGATGGAAAGCTGTAATGCTACACTCTTGTCCTACTGCCTGTTATAGACCTAGAATAGAATAGAAACCAAACTTAATTTAACACAAACAAAAACACAGCAGTGATGTTCGGTAAGTTTAATATACTGTGCTACTTTAAAACTATGTATTGTGAAAAGCACTATACAAATAAAGGTAAATGTACATTTAGGACCATAAGTGCAACATATTGAATGGATTACAATTGTACAATATGCAGTTTTGGTTTGGGATGAGAAAATCATGACAATATACATTTTTTGGAGAAGCTTGTTCAAAGTGTTTATTTAAAACGTCAAACTGGACCTTCTGATACAAATAGCAGACTTCTCTCTAGTGACCTATGCATCAAGACTTTAAATATGGTGTCTGCTTGGAAGAAATGTAGAAAGCAATAGCTAGTATGGCAACACAGGCAACCGTGAAACTGACTGGACCTCCATAACATGCAGAGTCCCTCAGGGCTCAATCCTTGGACCTCTCATGTTCAATCTGTGTACGCTCCCACAAGGCCGCAATACAATAACACAACACAACAAAATTGCTAATCATAGACATGCAGACTAAAGTCCCAAGTAAGCCCATCCATCGTATAGACAATGCAGCAATGCACAATGCAGTGCATTGATAAATATAACGTTTGGATGTGATTTCCTTATACACAAAGCAGGGATCCTCACATTTAGCAATAAACAGAACATACTAAATGAATGCTTACCTTGAATGCTTAGAGATATATATATGCTACTTCCAAATACTTAGTCCAGGATCTAAGATAGAGTTGTGGCTTAAAAACTCACTGACGTTTAGCTACCTAGTGTTACTGACAACAGGTTTCATTACAGAATCCCTCATATTATCTTATTTAATGTCAGCCTAAACTACACAATGAAGGCTGTCGTAAAATGTGAACACATTGGGCGAATTCAAAACGGAAGTGAGCATCCATATGCCCTACTTCCTTCGAAGGGCAGAGCCCTTGAAGTGTGTTCTTTGAAGGGTGTAGGGCATTACGGTCTCGTATAAGCATTTGTAACTCCCTTGGTGAAGGGAATGACAGACCAGATGCTAAATTGGCAATGCTACGCGCGCGTGCAGCATTCAGAACTTCATCAGTTGTTGCAAATAGTATATCAGTCTGGCGAGTAAACAAAAAAATGTACTAGCCAATAGTGATTATATTGCCAAGGTGTGCGTAGAGGGTTACATAATCTGCTCCTGGCGCCACCATCTGTAGAACTTAGTGGCGCTGGTGCCACTGCTCTCAAATGTTAGTCTGGAGCCCTGATTGACCACTGCTGAAATAGACACAGATACATTGCTAATATTAAAAGGTGCGTGATACCTGATGAAGCCTGCAGCAGTACCACCAGTCCTGTGGGTCTGTCTTCAGTAGATGGGCCGCTCTGACCACAGATCACACAGTCATACAGAACTTCTGAGTCTAGAGGTTCTGCCGAGCCCATGTCCATCACTGCATCTGTTTCAGGTGACTCTATTAAACACAAAATCAAACAAAACAGTCAGATAACAAACAAAAAAGAATTATATAGAGCACATCTGAGACTGGTAGATCACAAGATTTCCCTTCAAATAAAAGATGCCGCCCACAAATACTCTACAGCATTTTAAGGCACCAAAGGTCTGAAGGCTGTTCCAAAATATATGCAGCAAAATTATGCTGCCTTTCGAGATGCTTTGTTTTGAGCAAATTCTGTGCATCCCTCACTCAGGTGAACACTGACAGAATGAGTTGAGAGAAATGTTGATTACAAATAATTCTAGTCCATTCGATAATGAATAGTATTGAAAAACAAATCTGTTCAATCAAATCAAGACAGCTCACTAGATTTTAAAGCAAAGATGAAGATCAGTTTGGATCTCTTTCCCTAGGTGATCAATAACATTCAGTTCAAGTTGTGTAGATATTGACTGCTCATCAGATCTTTAGAGAGTCCAGCACAGTTTGAAGCTCCAAAGCAAAAAATTAAAAAAGCAACATGGAATTCTATAGATAGAGTACATTTGTACATGAATATGGCTATCATTCATTACCGTGGCACCCCACTGCACCATGGTCCCATCACAGTACTTTTTTGTAAGGGTTTGGCGTTTTACACAAAACCAAAACACAGAGAGAAGCCAAGCACGAGAGTATGAGACGACGGGTGTAAAATCCAATAAATGCACATGATTTATGAGCGCAGTAGATTGGCAAAACTTAATTAGTTATATAATGTGGATCTGAATGACTTTTTTGCCCTCTCCTGGTTAAATTAACAAACAGTTAAATGGAGGTTCAGGCGGTCATGCATTAAACGCAGTAACAACAGAGCTAATGTAGTGTGAACCCTGTTTTTGGACGGCAGAATATTCTGCTATCTGTGAAGGTCAGTATCTAAACACAGTATCCTAAAACTGTTCATGTGCCTAAAACTTTGTGATTATATCATAATATGACTATACAACTTCTGCTGTATTTAGATAAAAATAATGACAGATATATAAAAACTCAAGTGAAGTACAGATACTCCCAAAAAAATACTTTAGTACTGTAACAAAGTATTATTACTTTGTTACATTACACCACTGAGAAAAATTAGGGACGCACTGCATATAGTTACTCATTATAATGAGCAATGTAATATTTTCCATCGCTTTAAAAAGTAGCATTCCCAGTCAGTGTTAATTTCGTTGCCGAATAATTTTCGTCAACGACATTTTTTTCACCGACGACAACGAGACGATAACGAACTAAAACTATTTTTAAATGACAAAAACTATGACATAAATCTATTGACATTTTCGTCAACGAATAAAAACGAGACGAAAATGTTAGGGAGGGACGATTTGGGAAGAAATTCATTCAGAACGAATCTGCTGCGTGGTTCGGAGGTTAGATTGCGTATATATGAACCGGCGGGACATCAGCTAACATACACTTGCTGCACGTCGCATAAAACTAGAGATCGACAGATATATCGATTTTACGATATTTTTCCCGATATTTAAGCATTTTACCATAATCGGTTATGTAATATCGGATTCACAGATAAACGGCACCATGTTGTGTGTGTTTTGAGAATTGTGCGCAGGATCGCCATTGCAGCACAGCGTCTGAGGGGAGAGGAGACAACAACAACGGCGTGCATAGGTAAAGCATACTTACTTGCTTTGTTGTAATTAGTAAACTTTATTTAACATAACAGCCATTAATGCACATATTAGATGCGTTACATAAATGCCTGAAATGTAGCTAGTTTATGCAGCTTGCCTCTAAGAAATAGAGACAAACTCACTGAGTCACGTAAGAATCCGTCAAGTCCTGTCCCAATAAAGACTTTGCCTGAATTAACTAATACAGCCATGAATGAGAGCATGTTGGAAATAAAAGCGCTGTATTTAATTCTCTCTCTGTTGTCTATATGCTCATCATTAGTCTCGTGAAGTTGGAGTCGGCTAACAATAATCTGTCAAGTCCTGTCCCAATAAAGACGTAACTTTGCATGAATTAAATAATACAGCCATGAATGAGAGCATGTTGGAAATAAAAGCGCTGTATTTCATTCTCTCTCTGTTGTCTATGCTCATCATTAGTTTCGTGAAGTCGGAGTCGGCTAAAAATAATCTGTAAAGTTCTGTCCCAATAAAGACGTAACTTTGCACGAATTAAATAATACAGCCATGAATGAGCTCATGTTGGAAACAAAAGAGCTGAATTTAATTCGGTCTCTGTTGTCTATATGCTCATCATTAGTTTCGTGAAGTCGTCTGCATTTTGCTGTTCACACGGTTGCTGCTCAGGAAATGCTCCAGCACGGCCACTGCATGTAACTTTTAACAAGATTAAATAAATACAACTCTATGGAAATTAATTATTTATTATCTCCGCGAGCGATCACAGTTTGAGTATAGTTCTGTGTAAATGCATAGATAAACAGTGCTTTGTCAGCACGCATTTCATGATTTAGAATGACAAAAACATTAGTAATTCTGATATAACATACCAGTTGAGAAATGCAATAAAATACGATGTTTTGTTTGTTATATTCCAATATTCCAGAGAATATTATTCAGTGAATTAACATTATCCAGTGAATTCTTCTTCTTATGAATTATTCTTTAGTCTTTTAAACAGCTTATAAACCTACTAAAACTGTAGTTTAAAATGTAGATGACTCCTGTCCTTTATTTATTTTCTCCATTTGAAAACATTAGACATTCTACGTTTATTTTGCTTATTAGTGTTGCTGCTGATGCTTTTGATAAATAAAATGTTTTTATTGTTGTAATATGAAGATTAAATTTAACATGAAAGACTGCAAATTTTCAACACTTTTTTATTTATTTATTTATTTATTTTTTTAAGATGACTGAAAGGAGGAAAAACCAAAGTGAAGCATGGACTTACTTTATAACAGTAAATAAATATCGGTTCTGCATATCAGTTATCGGGCACATAAACATGCAAATAATT